CTCAGCCTCCTCAGCTTCCCTGAGGCAGCTCACTGAAACACTTTGAGACATCTTCCTGATGTCTAAGGTGTTATATAAATGCATGTGTTTCATGCCTTGAAATTATTTTCCAAGAAGAAAATCCCTTGGCATCAGATTACTGCTGCAGATCTCATTATCACCTCTTTGATAGAAATCATCCATTAAACTGGATCACCAATCTCTGGATTGGCAACCTTGGGCCCTACGTGGCACTGCTCATTGTTCACATCATGAGGAGTTTTGAGTACTTGCTGTCCACCTAGCAAGGCTGGACTTGAGTAATGACCACCTTGTGACTATCCTCTTGGTGAAAGGGAATCAGTGGATTCTCTTGGGGCTGACACACCTGAAAAGGAATATCGGAACCGGGTCTATTTTCCGTGGTGATCTTGGTACCAACATCTGAGCCAGGTAGTCCATAGGCCCCCGGCACTAATAAGCACAGTGATCCTCGTTGAACAAGCTATTCAGAGTTTGTAATGGTTTTAGCTCAAGGTGCATCTTTCTCCCAATCAGCAACACCATTGCAACCACGAAGAAAGCTGGCTCATTGTTCAGTAGAAGTATTGCTTCTTACATAATAATGTAATAATTCTTGCAATTGATATAGTACCTTATCACATCTTTGAGATGTCTCAAAGCACTTCACAGAATCTACTTATATTTTAAATTGACTGTACATTTTGTGGCTGAAACGCTGCAACCAATTGCACACAGCACTGTCCCACAAACAGTTGTTGATTGATTGACTCATTTTAGTTTTTTTTAAAGGAATTATTGCCCCCGGAAAAGCAATCTGCCAATTGACTAACAACCGGGTTCCTGCTTACTGCTAGGTAAACAGGGCCGTAAGCAAAAACCTGGTTGTTAATCAATTGGAGGTTGACTAACTTGGAAACTTGCCCAAACTTTCGCCTTGCCAGAAATTAAACCAAGGTCCTCTTGCTTGCGAGATGAGTGCCTGACCTCTGAGCTACAGGACTCCAAGATTACATGTAAGATTAACTGTTTCTCCATTAGTCAAAAGCACTTGAAGCATCATTACACATCTGGCCACCACACTCTTCAACCAATTGCCTTTCATTGGTACATGAAAGAAAGATCAGGTGCAAACTCTGATTTTTCAATTAGGCTATCTAGAATGGTTTTGAGCAAGTTATATGGGCAGTCAAACCTTCCTTGTTTTTATGTGAGCTTTACAAGTGCATGATGGATTATTTATTGTTTGGGCCTTAATTTGTGCAATAGGCATGTCCATTATAAAAAATATATGCAGCATTTTATTCCTTATTTCATCCTTATTATGTACTGTCTAAAGACCACTGATTACTTCCGAACCATCTTGTGTTTTTACATGATTGTTGGGAAATGCGCGTGTGTATGTGTGTGTGTGTGTGGGGGGGGGCAGGGATGATGGTGGGAATGTTAAATCCATATTTCATAGTATCAAGAGGAACATGCAACCACAATAAACCCCATGATTTGGGGCCAGAAAATTGTTGCCTAGCAAAATAGCTGCCAGACAGCGATTGAGCAGGTTTGAAAGTACAATTCTCATGAGTACATCAGTATGATCTACACTGGAACAGGGGATGTAAAGTTGATAAAAACATGAGGCACAGTGAAATGCTTTTCCATTGGAGAATCAAACACATAAACATGCACACACATATTGAGTATTCAGCATAATTAATCATTTGGCATATATTTTGGAATTTTTTAGAATATCGTTGCTTTTAAAATAATTATCCACAGTACAGTCCTGAGATTGCAAGCTGTTGTTCCGAAGGCTTTCTTCGCCAACTTTGATGATGTCATTTCAATTAGCGGTTAATTCTATTTATTCCTTTGATGAGAAAAATGTCTCTTGCATGCTGATTAACCCGAAGAACCAGCCAGCTCCCAGCAAGTGGGATAAGGGCACCAGCAATCAATCTCGCCCTCTCTCCTACTGTTTCAACCTTGGTGATGTCCTGTACTATGTTTCTTGGCCCTTCACCTAGCTTTCGTTAGTTAAAAAAACCTCATGGCTTAGCTTATAGCTTGAGAACTATTGATTCTCCAAGGGCAATGAGGGTAATAGTTTATCTTTTATAGCATGTATGCATTGCAGCATCACTAAGAACACAGAGATATCGACCACTGCGATATCTTCTGGAATTAAGCTATGAATTGTGTGAACATGTGCAAGTGTGGTGTTCCAAGACTTGTTATTGTGTGCCTTATCCTGAATTTCTTGTTGTAAATGACAGACCCCTCTTGCTTCACAATATAGGTTTGTGCAGATTGCTTTAATGCTGCAGCTAAGTTAACAATTGATGTCCTCAATTTCACCTCCACATTGGTTAAACTTTTTTCTAATTCTTCCGGCTTCAGGTAGAAAATGAAACATTGAGCAAAAATATTTGTAACTGAAGCTGATCTGTTCCCCCCTCCCCCTAAAAAAGAGGGGTAAGGAGATGTTAAGCACCTGCCATTGCTGGTATTAAGTGTATGAATTATATTTGTATGAATTATCATTAGCAGTGAATGGGCAGTATGTCTAATTTATCAAGGGCAGATTGTCACAGGGATGAACTGCAAGGCTGATCAATTACCGTCAGATTTGAGTCACAGAGAGCACAGGCTGTGCTGTACAGTCTATGTAAATGTGAAACCAGAAACCTGAAACATTTGTATTTCTCCCTCTTTTCCGGTACATTTACATAGTCTATACAGCACAGACACAGGCTATTTGTGATTGTACTCCCTCTGAATCCCTTCTGTTCCCCTCTCCCGAATGTGTATTTTTGGTCTGACACATGTGGAAACCCATCCCATGCTAAAGGTAACCAAATCAACCTGAGAATTCCATGAATCCCACCTACACATGGAAATCCCAGAGATATGCTGGAATGGAATGCACACTCTCTCCCTAGAGGGATGCATTCTGCTTATCTAATTCTGGAAAGTATTAGGCACAGGTTGGCAAGAGCCAAGGCTTAGGGGACCCCAGAGTGTGCACTGGGGTACTGCTGGAGTATAACCAGTTAAAACCACATAGCTTGCCATTGATATCGTTGTCTGGCAACTTCTCTCTGAATGAAGAAGTTCCTCTGCTTATCCAGCCAGGACCACTCTACCCATTAGGACTTTGGCTTCCAGGGTTAACAGGAGCTGAGAGGGATGATTCTCTGGCCCCAGTGACAGGTCTGTCATCCTTGCAGGTCCTGCCGATGGGCTGGCTGTGCTGCCATCAGTAGTGCCCTGGAGAACTGGCGCAGGAAACATGCTACCAAGACGCCACAGAGGGCTGGCTCGATTTCGACATTCTGTTGCCAAACGTGTCACCTTGGAGCCTGTTCAGCTCCAAGGAAACCCTGTTGCCTCCCCCAGGAAGGAGAGTCACTTGTTGATTGTTCGACATCTGACAGGCATGGGTTTGAGCCCTCAGTAGGTGGATGGCAGGTACCAGCAACTCCCTGCGAGCTTCCTGGTGGGTCCCTCAAGCTTTCTCTTAACTCATCATAGAATCATAGAATTATACAGCACATTTGGCTCATCGTGTCTGTGCCGGCTCATTAAAAAGAGCTATCCAAATCAATCCCACTCCCCCACTCTCTCCCCATAGCCCTGCAAACTTGTCCTCCCCGAGGCTTGGGGGACTCCAGAGATTTTATAGATTAAAAGCATCGATACTATCTGCTTCAATCACCACTTCATGCAGTGAGTTCTGCATTCTCACTTCTCTCTGAATGAAGAAGTTACTCCTAAATTCTTCTTTAGATCCTCTAGTCACTATTTTATACTTGTGTCCCCAACAATTTAAGAACCTCACTTCAGTATAATTGTTCTGACAATAAAAGTTGTGCTGTGATTACATGCCTGTAATATGTATCTCATGTTAACTTGGGGAGAGGGAAGAAGTTAAAATTACTGCTCGTTAGGAGTAACAGGTTAAAAAAAACATACATGATAATAATAATCATAATAATCCTTGCATTTGGCATAGTGCCTTTTCACAATGTTGAGTCATGTCAAAGCGCTTCACAAGATTTATTGTAAAGTGAAGTGACTGTCTATTTTCTGGGCTGACTTTGGGCTACACACACTGGTTTAGGAATTAAAATGTGATCCTTCTTGTTTAAAAGTAAACACAGATACAAGAAACAAGAAAGATGTTTTGCATGTTGTGTACACACACACATATATATACTGTGTACACACATATATATATACAGCATATAAATAGACATATATAATTCTCTGTTGAACTCTGAATTCCCAAAGCGGGGAAATGAAAGAGAGGGTGGAAAAAGTTAGTTTCGATTTCAAAATCCTAACCTCAAGCCTTGTTGAAATGTTGCATGTCCTATTCCACTCCAATAGCTTTCACAAGCAAAGGCTGGTGCTGGTATACAGGAGTCTGTTTCATTCTGAGGGCTTTATCCCCCACTTATTTCTTCTATCTCTCTTGCTTGTCTAGCTATATTGAAGGCAGTGAGAGAGTCTTAACTAAGCCAGAGTTTGCCAGAAAGTAAAATATGTTTGTATCCTACCAAATCCAGCAAACAGTAGGCCAAAAGTAGCCCAATACTATGTGTTAGCTTTTATGGGTAGAAGATTGAGTGGCTCATTTAGGTCCGTGCCTCTCAAACTGTGTAAGAATAGGTCTTCAAAATGCGGGGAAGGGAAAACAAGTTTTGCAGGTTTAAATAACCTTTTAAAAATCCGCACAACCTGGCCAAGTTGACTGAGGCCAGGTGAACCCAGCTCAGACCAGCCTGTCGGCGCTTGGCACCTGTTTCGCTGCGCTGTGCTGCACTGCTGACTCTTTCCCCACAATATCAACGACATCCAAATCGACAGGCTAAAGATTAACTAAGCCAATATATTCTGCTTTGAACGCCCTCTCTACATCATGTGATTCATTGCACTTTGCATTCCTGTTTCTGACAACTAATTACTATGTGTGACTATCACTTCCTTATTCTCGCTTGCACCTGTTTGTCTCCCTGACTATTGTTTGGGATTTTTTGCCCCCAACAAGATGAATCTGAGGCATATCATCACAGTGGAGCCAGTTGTCTTTCTCTTCTTTACTGGGTCTTTCTTGTGCACACCAGCACTGCAACAGCTTGCACTGAAAAAGGTGGGTTAGAACTAAGTGACGTACGGTACAATAGAATAAGCCATTCCTCCTGTGCTGCACTTTGTTTTATTTTAAAAAAGCCATTCAGATTTTCTTCATAATACTTTAGGAATAAGTTCTTGAAAGATATTCTTGGTGGCATTTGGGTATTACTAAGATGTTGCAGGTTTATAATAATAATAATTCTTGATTTGATATAGCACCTTATCATGTTATTGAGACGTCTCAAAGCGCTTCGCAGAATATATTGTAAAGTTGATTTACTGTGTATTCGTTAGATGAAAAGCAGCAGCCAATTGCGCATAACAGTGTCCCAAAATAGTCATGGATATAATAATAATCCTTGCATTTGATACAGTGCCTTATCACGTCTTTGAGACGTTTCAAAGCGCTTCACAGAATATACTCCAAGGTGAATTGACTGTATATTCTGTGGGCCAATTGCGCACAGCAGTGTTCCACAAACAGTCGTGGATTGATTATTAAAAAGAAGAAAAAAAGTACTTTCAAACTCAATTGACAGCACAGCAATATTGTATAATGTACGATGGCCTCCTGTGGTAACAGATGAAATGTCTTAACGATGCAGTCCCACTAATACTCTACTGCAACGTTCTTGTAAAAATTAGAATCAGAATTAATTTTTGTGTTACTTTAGCTTCCAAACTGAGCCTTGAATGTAGAAAAGTGGGGTTGTTTCTCATTGTTCTCAGTGATCTGTGGCGGAACATGTGCTATGGAGAATAGAGATATGGGGTGGGGTGAGTGGGGGTTATGAGTGGGGAACTATATTATAATCACAAACTGCTAAATTTTCCATTGAATATAATGCCTCACCTTCCTCTCCCCTGGATGTATTGGAACCGGACATGTAATTGATGACTATATGAAGTTAGTGAACAATTAGAAAATGACAATTCAGAATTGCCTTCACTTGTGCTGTGATTAGGAGGCCAGGCAAACCAAAATGGGATAGATTCACACTTGACATTTCCTTGTGATACCTTTCCTATCTGTTCCTACCCTTCTTTTCTGCTCGCCTTCTCCACTCGGCTAACTTGGGCTCGCTGCCTGTCTCTCATCCTACCTGCACCAACATCAGTGGCTGAGCTTTCCAATTCTATATCTCTAACCTCTGGAATTCCTCCCTTTGATACCTCCGTCTAATCCCCCCGCCCCACATTATAATCCTTATAATAATAATCCTTGCACTTGATATAGCACCTTATAATGTTGTTGAGACGTCTCAATGCTCTTCACAGAATGTATTGTAAAGTGCAGTGACTGTAAATAGTGACAGAGAATATATTGTAAAGTGCAAAGATCTCACCTTCTTCCCCCTTCCCCTGGCTCAGCCCCAGGATCCGTTATTGTAAAGCGCTCTGAGACACCATCCGCCGTGGAGGGTGCTATATAAAACCAAGTTGTTGTTGACTGTGTATAATACAGGCAAAGCATGGCAGCCAATTGCAGACAGCAGTGTCCCACAAACAGTTGTGGATTGAGTCACCAAATTATTTATTTATTTTTTGGTGGGATTATTATCCCCGGAAAGTGATCCGCCAATCTACTAACAACCGAGTTCCTATTTACTGCAAGGTAAACCGAGGCTTGTGGAGTAAGAAAACTTGCCTAAGGTTTTGCTGTGTCCGGGAATCGATCCCAGGTTCTTGCTTGTGAGGCGAGTGCTCCAACCACTACGCTACAGGACTCCACTGTTGTTGTTGTTGTGTTGTTGAAGTGAAACACTGCTCATGTGACAAATGTTGCACAAACCCATGACCTACAAAACCAAGTCTTGCTTTATGCCTTCTTGCCTAATTTTACTTTAGTATTGATACGTGCTTCTCCTCATTTGGGTACTTACCTTACGCTTGATCCCTTGGGTGTAAACAAGGTGACAGTAAGCGAGGAATGCTTTGCTGTAGGTGAGGTGAAGACTGATGTTCTAATGTCAGTCCAGTTTACATGCTGTGACCAATTAGCCTTTTATTATATACTAGCTGTATCCGTTGAGCTACGCTTGCAACCAAAGGATCCAATATGGAATGCAGACTTCAGTGATACCACTCACAAACCATTTAACATATCATAAACACTTTAAACAAAACTGCTACACATGTGCAATGAGCTTGTTTGGGTCATAGCTCATGAAGGATAGAAGATCCTAACAAAGTGTCATAGCTCATGAATGATAGAAGATCTTATCAAAGCTATGCTAACCGAAGGGGTTTACTGTGTGATTTGGCAGGTCCTCGAGTTATTGCAATGCAGAAGTGCTCTTCTTTGTTCTTCAGTTTCATTTAATCAGTCTTCTTTCTTTTGTCTGTCATTTTTATTTGTACTTGAAAGGCTTGATGTTCACTTAGGCATCTTTATCTTGTTCCAGCCACTTAGTTTCGTCTGAGTGTGTGCACGCTGCGTGAATGCATACTTATGTGCTCTGTGATGCACAATACCAAGCACCACTGGGAGTCGGCCTGGCCACCAGGTGTAATTGCAGCGCAAAACTCAAAACTGCCATACATGTGTGCTGAGCTTGTTTAGGTCATAACTCACCAACGATAGGAGATCTCTATAAACAGATATGCCCATGACATTCCCAAATGCAACGCCTTTCCGATGAGATATAAATCATATCTCTATGTCAATTGGTTATTGAGATCTTGGCTGACACACAGACAGACATTGTTGTTTTATTCATATAGAAGAAGAAGATAGATAGAAGAAGATTCTACTAGGTCTTTGCCACTACAGCATCACCTTTCTTTATCTGAAGACACTGCCTCTAGCTGGATTATGATTCTTTGTGTAGGTGCACAAATTCCCATTCTTCTGTGTATGAGCACAATGAGGGTTTTTGACTAGGGATGGGTGAGGGTCTGGGGTGGGGATAAATCACAGTCCAGTCCAATTTTGTCCTCACTCAATGTCCATACACAGATAATTTCCAACAGAGCTCAATAGAACAGATCAGGAGTGGTCAAATGCCAGTTATTTCCCTTCCTTACCTCAGAGCCACGAGGTGAACTTTAGCTCCCCCACTGGAGTCTCGCCTGAAATCAACGTCAGCTCAGTGTGAATCAGGTGTTAAACCTAGAAGCCTTTGGCTTAGTTTGGCCCGGTGCTTCTTCCAACTAGAACACTGGGATTTGTTTTTAAAATACATTTGTTGCTGTGCAAATTGAAGGTGAGGTAACATTGAACAATAAGAACAGAAATGGCACAGTTTGCCAGTGTGTGAACCTCAGTGTTACTTGCTTCTAACACATCTCTAGCCATCTGCTGTTTTGTTCAATATTGCATGTGACATGAGTGGTAGTTGGCCTTTTTATTTCAACAACTCCATAATAGTAATAATCCTTACATTTGATATCGGGCCTTATCACGTCTTCAAGATGTCTCAAAGCACTTCATAGAATATACTGTAAAGTGAACTCACTATATTTTGTGAGCCAAACATAACAGCGAATTGCGCACAGCAAACTCCCTTCCATACCCTTCTATTCATTCCCTTTTTGCTTGTTTATATCCAGCTTCATTTTAAACGTATTTATAGTAGCTGCTTATGGAAGCAACATACACATGCACCCACAGGAATTGCTTTGGGTATTCCCCAGAAACTCCCACTATGAACATCAGCCATAAATAGCATAGAGCAAGGCATAAAATCCAATTAAGAACATTGGTACATTGTATCACAGAAATAGTAATATTCAAAAGAAATGTTGGATAGACATTGCATTGATCTTGCACCTGATATTCAGTGAAGTGAAAGTGCAATATAATCATTACTACAAATGCAGTAATTGCATGTGACCAAGTACACAAATCTCCTTTCAGTTAATGTTTTCACCATCACCAGAATGAGTACCGAGCTGCTGTGCAGGGACTCGCACTACAGCGACGGCTCAGGACAAACAAGATTTTTTTTAAAGAAACATCATTTTCTTTTCATTCATTGTGCAGATACTGTCATCTGTGACAAAGAACTGAATCTGGTTCTGTCTCCTTTGAAATAGTGTTTGGGTCGTTTGCTAATGTGACTGATTTTGTTTTTTCAGATTTGTGAGGAGATATATATTAAAGAAGAAATATGTGGGGATCTCACATACCATCTGAAAGAGTCTCAAGTTGTCCAAAGTAAAGTTTCCTATTTTTTGCTTTTCTACACTTCTATCCTGACCTTCGTGTCCATCCCACCATCTATTTTGCTTGGCTCCTGGTCCGACCAGGGGCGTCACAAGCTTGGCATGATCTTACCCAATATTGGTGCAGCGTTCAGTGGAATTATCTTCATAGCAATTGTGGAAGTTGAAGGCATGTCTATCTACTGGTGTTTTCTTGGTGCAACATTTATGGGACTGTCTGGGAATTATGTTGCGATTATTCTCAGTATCTTTAGTTATGTGGCGAGTATTACAGACCAGCAGAACCGTACCTTGCGTTTTGGGATAGTGGAGGCTATGATCCTCATTGGAGGAACTGTTGGATTCCTGCTGAGCGGCTGGCTGCTTCAATATTATACCTACATTTTTGTTTTCAGTGTATTTTGCGGGTGTCATTTAGTGTCTATTTTGTATGTGATCCTGTGGCTGCGGGAGCCAGACGATGTTCCCGAACAAGTGATGGAAGCTCCCCCTGCTACAAGTGGCACCACCCAGATAGCTTCTATTTTTTCACCTTTTGTAGAAATGTGGCATTCCTTTTCCAAGGTGCGAGAAGGACAAGACCATTTCAAGCTCCACCTCATTTTCATTTGTTGCATGCTCATCAACATTTCCAATGCAGGTAAGTTAGAGAAGTATTTATTTGCGCGAATACTAATTAATGACTGGAATAGATTACCTGGAATAGTAGTAGAGGCCATCGAAGTAGCGTCTCAGAGCACTTAACAATGGTGTAGTTTATAGCCAATTGCAAAACCTCAATGAACACAAAAGTATAGAACCATAGAAATAGAAACATAGCATAGGAGAAGGCCATTTGGCCCAATGTGCCTCTGCTGGCTCTTTTAGAAAGCAATTTTTTCATTCCCATTTACCGGTTGTTTCCCTACAATCCTGTATGATCATAAAAAAACAATATTCAATGCAAAAAGTTTGAGTTTTACTCCTGATAGTGTTTACATCAGTAGATTTGCTCTTTAGGAAGCCAGCACAGACACAATAGGCCAAATTGTCTTCTGTGCTGTAAATTTCTATGGTTTGATGGTTCTAATAGCATTTGATTGATGTATTTGAGTATCTTTATTTCCTCTGCTTTCCCTTGACCACCTCTATGATGATAAACTAATTCTACAGTAGTAATAATAGCTTAAGGCGCTATACAAGTGTAAATTTGTTGTTGTTTATATAGCACCCTTCATGTACAACAGGCTACTTTTTTGGATTAAATATAGATTTTTCTGTTTATATTTTTTGGCTCATTGAAATGAGGGATGTTAATTCTGGGAAGTGGCATTAACATAATTCTAATTCTGAAAAAGAACAATTTGTTCTCAAACTTTCTGTGGTAAATAACTTGCAGGAATTATTCTGACAGATCTATTGATTAAATTTTCCTGAATATTAATTTCACAGGTGAGATGTCAACTATAATTCTATTTCTGATGTATCCACCACGCCACTTTTCCAGTGAACTATATGGAATATTCACCGCCGTTAAGATGTTTCTTTCAGTAAGTACTGGGCATGTTCTACTTTCCTCTGTGGATTGCATTTAACTTACATTAATCAATATGGATTTATCACTGATGTCAAAGGTAATCATTTCTCATGTGGTTTTTTCGGGAGGTAAGATGCAGGTTGGGCTACTTGCACCTGGGCTAACCATGTTCAAATGCATTTAATTGCACAATTCACCAATGGAAAGGATTGCAGAATCATCTGGTATTAGCCTAATTGGCAATTTAGATCCTATTATATTGAATCAGCCTTCCCACATTATTTGATCTTTTTTTTTGGTACAAACTGCTGGTTGTGCTAACCATGTTGGCTCGATATTTGTTAGGGAAGGTTATCAAGGGATTTGGGGGCAAAGGTGGGTAATTGGAGTTGAGGTACAGATCAGCCATGATCGTATAGATGGCATTACAAGCTCGAGGGGCTGAATGGCCTACTCCTGTTTCTGTGTTTCTATGTGCATAGATGGAATTATGCATAATTAATTAAGAAGATATCTGAGATCATTCTCATTACATGTTATGTGGTTAAGAGCACCTGTAATTCCCTCCTGATATAGTGTTAGCAGGCTGCATTTAATGAGTCCCAGTTATTCCTGTTGATTTCCTCAGTGGCGTCCACTACACGTATCACCAGGACTTGCTCGATAGTGAATAGGTTCACCCCCCATGGCTGTCCTAGCAAAATTCAATTAATAGCACAGACCAAGCATCAAACTTGCGATCTTCATGCTCTACTTAGGTCAATAGCCCAGGAGGTCAATTAAGCCAATGTCTTTGTCTTACAATCCTCCCGACGTGAAAGGTGCTATGCAAATGTAATCTTGTTGTTGTTGTTGCCTCATGCAGCAGAGACTCACAGCAATATTCCTCAGTAAACCCTATGAGCAATGGTATTTTGCTTTCTTCTGGTTGGCTCTCTTGGTGGGGGGAGGGGTGGGATGGCTGGTCTTCCTGTCAAAATGGCTTCAGGTGGTACACATTATATATGAAATACTTGATTGCAGCAGTCTTTTGAAACTCAGTACTTTGGATAATGTATGCCATCTGGCACCATCTTTAATGGGAAACATACCGAAGATTAAGTTTGAAGTTAAGTGGAGAGAAGGTATAATATGACCACACGCAAGGTGAATGGAAGCGGCGCTATGATCTCTCTCTCTTTCTCCTGCAATGTGCCGTGAGGTTCAGAATGCTGCACACAAGTTTCTGCTTAAGTCTGAAAGTAGGAGATAGAAAAAGGAAACTTGCATTTTTGTAGCACCTTATCACATCAAAGTGTCTGAAAAGCATTCCACAGATAATTTCTGTGAAATGTAGCAAACTAGACAACTATTTACATTTTGCGCCAGCAGGGCCCCACAAACAGGCATGAGTGACTAATCTGTCTGGAAGAATGTTGGCCAGGACACCAGAAGAAACTCCCTTCCTTTTTTCCAATAGTATCATGGAATCTTTGATGTCCACCTGACTAGACAGATGGGAATCTGGTCGGTGGACTCCAGTCTTGAAATGGATCTTGAACCTTCTGAGCCAGAAGCCAAGGTGCTACCAATGAGACCAAAGAGACAAATAGATGTGCTTATCATTTATAGTGATTGATCTTCCTTTCTTATGAACTGGCATGATGGTTTCTCTTTCTCAGATGTTGTTCACTCAGGTTCATGAAGATGGGCAGGAGAGTTTCTGTGTCCAAAGCACTTTTAGAGGCAGAGATGCTATAAGTTTTCATTGCTTTAAGCTGCCTATCCAAAGAGTTGCAAACCTCTTCAGGATCACTATTATTTCTAAATTTGCACGAGCGCAGTTTGACATCAGGACTTGGAACTCCTACAGTCTAAGTTGATACTTCAGATTGGGGGTGTGCTGCACTGTTTGGAGGTGCCATCCTTCAGATGAAATGTTAAACCGAGGCCCTCTCTGCCTTTTCAGGTCGATGTTAAAAATCCCATAGCACTATTTGAAAAATGATGGAAGTTTCTCCCGGTCCTGGCCAACAATCCCCCAAATAAAATAAGTCACTCCCTCCATGGCTGTTTGTGAGACATTGCTGTGCACAAATTGTCTGTTGGGTCGCTCAAAAACACAGGGTGACTACACTTTACAATATATGTTTACATGAAAGCACTATACCAAATGTAGGATTATTATTTAAATTTGCACTTGCAGTTAAAAAAGATAACAAGGGATCAGATGTTTTTACCTAATTCCCCAAATTTTCTTCAGGTAATTTGGTCGCAAAACCAAATAACATACAAAACATTTGCTAGTACTTGCTAATAGCTAGATAATTTGAAACATCCTCCCAACAAAAAAGGTGTACATAAATTGTATTATAACATTTGATCTAAAATATTCATCAGGTTTATTGTACTAGATGTTTTTATTGTCTTTAAAGCCACTGTAAATTATTCGGTAGAATATTTATCAAAACCAGAAGTATTTTGTTTGACTGGAAACTTGAAAACTTTTTTTAAAGACCACTTTTAGCATGAGGCTTGATACAATAAGCTGATATAAGCCTGTGTATTGCAAGATCTTGCCTTATTTACTGTTATTAAATTTTGTCCCCTTCACCTCATTCATTGTATTAGCTTGATTTTATACAGTTGAACATGTCATGCTAGGAATTTCATGCTCTGAATTTATATATCTTCATAAATTCAGCAGGAAGAATTGGCTAACTAACAAGTGATTTGTTTTGGTTGTTCCATCCCAACCAAACCAATTAAACTACATATATTACCTATAGGTTGAAAGTGGCCAATGTTTTGAGATGCCTGCTACTCTTATGACTAATAATAACACCCGACTACAATGTACTCCCAATTTAGGAATACTCAATGATTGTGCATATGTATGTGTATGTGTGAAGATGATATTTCAAAACCCATTGTAATGCCTTTTCTTGAATAAGAAACACTGCAATTTTTACCCCAATAGCAGTAACTAAGTGGCTGTGGTTACCAATTTCTGGGAATATGTAGCCTTCTCCAAATGAGGGAAGATTGAAGTTTTTTCCATCTTTCTCCCTGTGGGGCAGCTAATGGAGCTCCAAAATGCTATGGCAGTGTGCTGCCTACATGAAAAAATATTTAACTAAAATGAAGAAAGTTACTCGAAGCTCCATTTAATTTATGCAAGTCTGGAAAACCATTGATCTAACATTCCTATTAACACAACTTGGTATGCAGAAAATCCCTAATCGGTATGCATAACACATGTTATACAGGATGTACAGGTCTAAGTTTTTTTGAGGCTATAAATATTCAGCAAATTGTAAGTGGATAGTTTGAATTTGTGTTTGGATTTTTTGGAGAATGACGTTACTGTAAATTGCTGTTATGAAAATTTTAGCAATTGAAACTCATTGCTGGTTGAATCAGTTGGGCTGGTGATTGATTATATTGGAGAATGAACTGTGTGAAGGAACTACTGTACTACTGGTTGAAAGGAATGTGAACCAAGGAACGTGAGGGAGATGAACCCTGCAGTATAGCTCTTGCTTTGAAGGACAAAGGGATCACTAGATCCAGCAAGGTTAAACAGTCCTGGGTAGCACTGCCTGTTGTAGGGAATATGGATTTAGAGAATAATAATAATAATAATAATCCTTGCATCATTAAACCAAGATTAATGAAGTGCGCAGCAGAGTAAATTTTCTTATTACTTCTTAGGAGGGCAGGACCCACCAGAGAAAGTCAGAGCACAAACTGTTTAGGCAGTGGCCACATCTAATAATAATAATAATAATAATTCTTGCATTTGATATAGTGCTTTTCACGTCAGGAGGACGTCCCAAAGCGCTTCACAGAACACACTGTAAAGTGAATTGACTGTATATTTGTGGGCGAACGCGGCAGCCAATTGCGCACAGCAATGTCCCACAAACAGTCGTAGATTGAAAATGACCAATTTATTATTGTTTTTGGTTTTTGGAGGGATTATTATTATTAGGCACAAACATATGGAGGATTTCTCAAAGTTGTTGGAACAGTCTATTTGCTTTCACTAAGCATTATTGTCTTAATCTGATTGCCCCAGGTGCAGTGCTGTAAATTGGTCTAAGTAATAAAAATAATAATAATAATAATCCTTGCATTTGATATAGTGCTTTTCACGTCTTCTCAACGTCTCAAAGAACTTCACAGAATAGATTGTAAAGTGAATTGACCGTACATTTGTGGGCGAAACATGGCAGCCAATTGCACACAGCAGTGTCCCACAAACAGTCGTAAATTGAAAATGACCAATTTATTATTGTTTTGTTTTTTGGAGGGATTATTATTAGGCGTGTGGAGTGAGGAAACTTACCCAAGGTTTCTCCCTGCCTGGAATTGAACCCAGGTGTCTCGCTTGCAAGGCGAGTGCTCTAACCACTGAGCTACAGGACTCCTGTAGCTCAGTGGGATTAATAAATAAAGGATTAATAAATAATTCTTGCATTTGATAAAGTGCTTTTCAGGTCAGGTGAATGCCTCAAAGTACTTCAAAGGATTTACTGTGTATTTCTCGGCAAATAACTGCTTCTGTAGGTGAATTAGATATTTGTATTCTTCAGGACAATTAAAATAAATTTTTACCGCTTTCCCCCCAAAAGACTGTGGATGCTGGATTCATTCACATTTTCAAGACTGAGGTGGACAGATATTTGCTAGGTCAGGCTATCAAGGAATGCGGGTCAATGATGGGTAATTGGACTTGAGGTACAGATCAGCCATGACCTTACAGAATAGTGGAACAGGCTCGAGGGCTGAATGACCTACTTGTACTTCTGTTTCTATGTTTCTATGATAGGAACTGAATGCCAAGTAACTGTACTTACTGAAACTTACCTGGTCTGTGTAGTCTGAGCGCTCGGCAGTCTCTGGCCTGCTCCACATCCCCACCCTGCCCATGCCACCATCGGTTGTCGAGCCTTCAACTTTATTGCCTCCATCATTTGGGACTCAATTCCACAATCTCAAGACCTTCCTCTTCGATCGTGCCTTTGGTCACCTTTCTACCCCTACCCTCCCTGCCCTCCACCCCTCCTGATCCCAATCCCTAACTCGGGTGCACATCCTTGATTGTCCAGCTTGGGACATCCTCCCAAAAGGCGTTATACAAATGTAATTTGTTAGTTGTTTATTGTTGTTGTCTGGGAAAGGTGTACAATGGTATAAACGATTTACCAGCATATGCATTCCACGCTCAGGTTATTTGAAGATGTAAGACCTGTGACAGATTGTTGTGTGCAAATTAGCTGAGGCATTTGCCCACAAAACAGTCTTGTAAAGCATTTTGAGATGTTCTCCCAATTAAAAGTCCCTATAAAAAATGGAAGGATTATTCTTATCATTGTGCATAAAAAACAACTTTAAGGGCAATTAGATACATTCCACAAAAAGGACATGGGATTGATAAATTGAGACTAATTTCATTATTCCAAGGTCTACAGTGAACAGTGCACATTCTCATTAGCCTTGAAGTGCCTTGAAAATACATATGTCTGGATACCACACCTCAAGTCCATTGAGTTTTAAAAGCATCGGCTAGTCCATCACCAGCTCTCCAATTCCCCATTCACTAGTTTTCACTTTGTTGAATGAGTAGAGACGAGCTAAAGATATCAAAAAGAGAACCAGAAAGGAAGACTGCTTGCTCAAACACATATGTGTGAATGCACCGTGCTTGTACAAGCACAGTATCTTAAGTTTTATCTTTTCTCTCCTTTTATTTCTAGATTATTTTTGCATTCAGCATCAGGCACAGATGAGTAAAGTGGAATCTGCTGCCCTAAATTGGTGAGAGATGCAAATAGTTCCCTCTCCTGCTATCTGTTAGCTCATAAATTATCTGAAGATATATAGGATGGTTTCAATATTCAGCAGGAAGGCTATTTGAATTGCGAGTCAATTCTTGCAAACCTAATGTCTATTTCCACTACTGTATGAGAAAGAGCAGCTGTAATGGACATAGATCAAAGGAAAAATTGAGATCAGAGGTAGCAGCTGAAAAGAGAATGATATTGTCGTAGCAGGTCCACTATATTTATATCCATCTTAAGTTTATCTGAGCATTTAACCCTATTTGGGTACGTCATGAAATACTTAGTGAGATACTGGTGTTACAGTATCTTTCATCTCCTGAAAATTTTGATTGAGAATTCACACTCAGTTCGTCCCGTGAATCAGTGGGTAACTGTGCCTTCCAGTGAGGAACTGAGCCATATACATCAAGAAGTTCCTAATCTTTCTTTAGGTTATGTGTCGAGTAGAATAAAGGTCTGGAAGACGCACTGCAGTCATGGGAGCAGGATTCACATTTCGGAAAATCTGGGCCTTCTAAAGACTTGAGAATTAATGACTGGTGCAAGGAGAATATGGTCTAAGTTTGAAAGTTGTGAGGAATCAACTTTCTCAAGGGTAGGATGAATATGAGCAGACTTCCAAGGAGAAGGATAGATGGACTGGGAATAACAGATACTGTTTAAGGATGAGGATAAATTTAGAGGCACAATGCCTTGAGGACAAAGAAGAGATCACATTGAGACCAGAAGCCTCCTGTCACTCATGTCCATAAAATGGCAAGTTTGCCAAAATTGAGAGAATAAAAATAGATGTGACAACAAAAGATTCTCAGTTACAGCAATTATGCCTTTTGCTTTCCTTTCTGTATGATTTATTGAAGTTCTCATGGTAATGCCACTTTCGATAGAGCAATGTTATGCGTCTTGACAAATCTGCTGGATTCTTTTGAAGAGATAGTAAATACACAAACCTTATTCTCCCCAGACGCCTTGCCTTTTTATCTTCTTGAGTGGTTGTAGACGGGCGACATTGTATGTTCATCAATCAGTAATGTTTGCTAACTTATGGAAAACTGAGACAAAAAGTATACTGTAGGTTTATCTTTCTCAGACAGAATTCAGGTTACATTCAAACTTGCAAGTTTCTTAATTTGTTTAACTTGGTGCACCTTGTAGCTAAACAAAGGAAAATCATCTAGAAACAGTGGAAGAAAAAATATCTAGCATAATTGTTTCAAAACTTATTTACTGTGCTTTTTTTTTATTTATGTATACTGAGCGGAAAGGGAATAGGGGGTATGGCGGGAGGTGAGGGAGGGGATTTATGATGGATGGAAGCTCACGTGGAATGAAAAGTCTGGCACAGATTGGTTGGTCCGAATGGCCTGTTTTGATACTGTTGCTTCTGTGTAATATTCCCGAGGGGACATATTTTAAACTCTAGGTGGAACCAGGATTCCTATTTCAAGGTGTGTTCTCAGCTGACCTACACAAGTGGCAGAGTGCTAACACAGTTTGGTGTGTCCGATGAATTGCATCACCTTTTTTTTAACTGCACAGTAAAGTTTACTGCTGGCACTAGTACTCAAATGAGTGTTTTTTCAGAAGAGTTTAAGTTATTCTTTGCTGTTTACAGCAGTGGGGTAGTATTAATGCAGAATCCCTGGATTGAGATCATCCGAAGTGTATAAATTATTTCTTAGAAACAAAGAGCACAGGACCGTAAAACTGAAAAATGGAATAGCTGGGAATTACATTAGTTGTTGCTTATGCCTGTTGTTTGGATGTGAGGTAAGGGAGCACCAGAGCATTGATTCCAATGGGCCCACCTATCTGTAAGATTGAAAATCCATCGGTGCAGTCATTAATCTGTCTCGTTTTAAGAGCCCATTTCTCAAAGTTTAATGGCTTATTGAAGAAAGAAGCAACAACAACAAAAAAAGACATGTGCAAACCACATAGCGGTACTTAGTGGTTTTATAGTGGCACTTAGTGAAACAATATATTTTTAAATTACCAAACCGACAAGGTTAAATTTAAAAAAAACTTGCCAAACATTTCTGTCTGTACTTGCTCGTGTCTTTTTTTTCCTCTTAAGTCTTCCAAACAACTGGTACAAGCTATGGAAAGATGTTTTTCATTAATTTTGTGTTCTTGGCAAGGAATGGGGTAAACCCAGTGGTAATGGAGGGGAGCTTAAGCCATTTTACCGCAAGGTGCTTTCAATGACTTTTAACTGCTTTTTTGAGGGATTTAAAATCCATGTTTTTAAAATGTTATTGAGTTCATGAAGAACATAGTAAAAAACAGGAAAGAAAATTTTGCATTATTATAGTGCTTTATCATGTCAAAGTGCTTCGTGGGCAAATACTGCAGATTTTGCATGCATCAGCAAGTCCATCAGACAGCCATAAAGATTGTTAGACACCAACAGAATAGCAGGGCATTTAACATCCAGACTGATGCATTGGAGTGTTAGTCTGGAGTCAACCATGAGTGCAAGTTGCAACATGGGACTTAAACCCACAACTTTCAGACCCCAGAGATCAGAGTGCTACCAACTGAGCCAAGCTAACAAGCTAACTGGTAGTTCTTGTAAATTTGTGTGCAGAAACGCAGTGCTAACCAACATGTGGTTATGGGGTTTGTCCTACATTATGGATATGGATCTCCACATTTTATTGTATTGTGTTTATAATATTGTAAAAGGCTAAGAGAAATGTAAATTTTAAGAGAAAAGAACTAGAGCTTCCAGAATTCAACAACATGTTAAAATGAAACTTCTTTTCGCAGGGAGCTGCCATGCTATGTCTCTTCCCATTATTACTCCGCTGCATCAATGAAATGACGCTGGCCAAAGTGGCATTATTGGTGAGGGCTGTATCATTTGTTCTGCTGGCCTTATCCACGCACAACTTAACAATATTTCTGAGTAAGTAAAGATTCCAAAACCAGAACAGTACAAATTCCTTGTTTAGTGACATTGAGATAAATGTAGAGTCCTGTGTATTGGTTAGAGCAGTTGCCTTGCAAGCAAGAGGACCTGGTTTTGATTCCCAGGCAGGGCAAAATGTTTCCTTACTCCACAGGACTCAGTTTACCTAGTAGCAAGTAGGAAACCGGTTGTTAGTCGATTGGCGTATCATTTTACCAGAGGTAATGTTCCCTAAAAAAAAATAATAATAATTTGGTCACTCAATCCACAATTGTTTGTGGGACACTCATGTGTACAATTGGCTACTGCAATTTTCCCACAAAATATACAGTCAATTCACTTTACAGTATCTTCTGTGAAGTGCTTTGAGATGTCTCAAAGACATGATCGGGCGCTATATCAAAATGTAAGGATTATTATTTGGCTTTAATGGGATTTCACATTATAGTTGCACATTACTATTAATAATAATTGTAAATGACATAGCGTTTTATCACAATGTCAAAACATCTCAAAGCAGCTTCACCAGTTTTACTGTAAAAAGGTAGTGACTATTTATCAGAAAACATAGGCACAATGTACACAACAATGTCCCACAAACAACCATGAAGTAAATTAACAATTTACTATCTGGAATATTGTTGGCCAGGACACTGGGAGAAACTCACTTCTGTTTTGAATAATATCATGGGATCTTTAACAACCACCTGAACAGGCAAACAGGATCTCAGTTTAATGTCTCACCTGAAACATGGCACCTCCAACATTGCAATGCACCCCTAGTACTGAAATGGAATGTCAGCCAAGATTACAGAGATCAAAGTCTCTAAATGGGGCTTATAGCCTATATATATATCATTCACAACCTTTTGATTCAGAGGCAAGAGTGCTACCAGCTACTCAGGCTGACACATTGCAAAAAGATGCGCGTGTTAACACAACAGAATTTTCCCTCACATCCATCACTCCTCACAGTAAGCTGATGTTCACAATGTTGGTACACTTTGTGATTTTCATATTTACAATGCATCCTCTTGTGCATTGCTATCTGAACAGTGGGAGGAAAATTGCAGCTGAGGAATTGACAATTATCGATTGCCTGCAGACATGACCCCCCACCCCTCCCCAACTTGGGTACAGTGGTTGAGCTTGAAGCTGCCTTTAGAGTTGCTGCTCCCGGAGGAGCATTTGAGACCCGGATTCCCAGGATATTGACTCACTGGGATTAAGAGCTCTGAGACTATATCCTGTGTGAGGGGTAAATGCAAGTTGTTGTTGAATCAATTCCGATTTGTATGTTTAGTTGATCCAGTTTGCAACTCCAGTGTTTTGGACCCATCCATTGTGCCAAAGATGGGAAAGTGGGGGTGTGGGGGATGGGGGAGGGAGTCAAGATGTGTGTTAGAATAGGGCTACACTGTAAAGCTGATAGATATTGTTATCATTAACCGGTATGTAAATTGTATCTGCTTCTGGAGAACATTTCTTCTGAATAACTTGAACATAGGTGCTCAAGAAGATGTATGCTAACCGATAAATTACATAATAATTTATACTGATGTCCTCCCTACATTCACCTTTTGTGTAGGCAGGTTATCTCAATAGTTTCACAAAGACTGAATGGAAGCCCGGGCTCCAAGGTTGATAGTAGTGTTGGGAAAGAGGGGTGGGGAGGAAGATGGGAGGGGAAAGGGGTGGGTTGGAGGCTGAAGATACAGCCACAGAGATTGAGCTTTCAATTGTTATTGAAAGCAGAGAGGGAAGGAATAAGGCTGAGGGATTTCAGAACGGAATTCCAGAGGGACTTAATATATTTAAGATTAGATGTATTAATTTGCATGATCTTCATAGCATGTTGTAGGGTTATTACTCGTCCTGTGATTGACTTTGAAGTGCTCAGAGCTGAACGATGGAAGGTTTTTCCATAATTTATTAGTGTGCATGAACCTTCACCCTAATCAGCGAGGCAACATTTGTAATGTGGTGCTCGGGAGATGGGAGGAGTTGGTCCAATGCTGAAGAGATAGAGGCATAGCAGAGATGTTTAGCTTATTCTATACAGCAGAGAAACAACTTTACTTTGAAACTTATTTTTGCTGTGCAAATGAAATGATTAGAAACAAGCTTGTGCCAGCAGCTTGATGCTGGAGGCGCTGAATAGAAATGGCATGATAATTTCCTATCACTAAGCCCCAGTGGTTGAGAATGTAGTGTACATTATGCTCACTCAATCCATTTGCAGCACCCAAAGCCAAGAGAAATACCAAGTCCTCTGCCAGTTAATAAGATTATTAATCTTAATTCTGATGGCTCCAGGGAATCCCTATGGCTAGAAGCATTAACCTGTGACATGGAATGATATAGCCTGGAAGGCTATAAGTTTGTGCTGATTTGGCTGATGTCAGCTGGAGCAACAGTTGGGGGGTGGGGTTTGGGAGGAGAAATTCAGCTACGATTCTCACTTCTAATCATTATCAGAATTTCTCTTATCTCAAGCATGTCCGTATTATCACTTGAGGCACTCGGAGATGTTACCTTGCTTGAAGGGTGTTAGGGTGTTATATAAATGCAATGTTTCAGCAAAGTGAATTCTACAATAGGCCTCAGATATCCCTGGGCTTTGGAGGGGAATCTCAGTTTGGGATTCCCACTTCTGATTATTAAGAATGACCCCCATTCCCTCCCTGCCCTCACCCGCACCACTATAGACTGTATACCACTATAGACTGGCGAGAGCTCACTATAGAAAGGTTCATTCCCCTGGCTGGCTCATGAAAATGGGCTAATAGACAAGGTTTGGACATGAGGATTAACTGGAGTGCTAATATGGTATCGCAAATTGGTGTGCTTTCAAGAGAAAAGGAAAGGGGTTTGTTGGATCTCCCCTTTTTAACTTAGATCAACTATCTTTGCGATGTATCAGTGTTTGATGAGCTTTGTTGACAGATTCACACTGACTAGATAGAAAAGCAATCATATCCATATCCATTTCCTTTCCTATCTATGCTAATGGCTACACAGTGAATATATAGCCATGGTTCCTGTTACAATATACATTACCCTTCACCTATTCATATTAAATAGTCTGTTATTACTGAGCCTATCCACTTAATTCACCACGATCCACTTTAAAGCCGTCAGACTGTCACCTGGCCACATAATAATAAAAGTAATCCTAAAATTTGATATAGAGCCTTTCATGTCGCCTTTCATATAATAGCTTGTTCTACATTGGTTTTGAATAGTATAAACAGATATCCCAGGATAGATCCCCTGGTGAACTCCAGCAGTCACTGGCCCCTGACAGCCTTTTCCACTTATTGTCACATTCTGCTTTTTATTTGTTTAGCCAGTTTTCAGTCCAGCCAAACAACTTGCATAAATGTTATGAATGTTGACCTTTTATTGAAAGCAACTCCACTGCATAGCTGTATTCTGCAAATGTAGTCACCTCCTTAACTTATTTTAATAGGTAGTGGCGGACTGACATTAACATTGTTTCTAAACAAACATGCTGACTAGGTGCACAAACATAGATAAAAGCATTTGTGCTCAACAGAAAAACTTAGGTAATATCATGTAAAATACCCCTGAGCATTATCTTTTTAACATTTAGATGGGGTTGGGTTGTACAAGATTCAAAGACTTTCTTAATCAAAGAGATGGTAAACAATTCAATTTAAATTATAAAGGTCTTACAGATATGCACAATGAGAGTCATATATATTTTATTGTCCTTGGCTAATACCAGTTCCTGGCTGGCTGAGGCTATTTGAACAACAACAATTTACATTTATTAGAGCCTTTCATGTCAGGAGGACATTTCAAAGGATTTCATACAGCTGACTGGAAATCTGAGCTGTTGAGGGAGCTGAGAAGGTTTGAGGGTGGTGAAGGATGTTGGGGAAGGGGGTGGGTGGGGGGGAGTTTTGACAGAGCTAGGTCAAGTAGATAGGTCTTCAGGCGGGGTTTAAAGGTGGGTAGAGAGGGGACAATTGGTGGGGTTTCAGTCCAAGGGTTTAGGTTCAGGAGCAATGGCTTTGACTGCAGGGTGGGCTCTGTCAATGTTCAAGCAAGTCGTGAGAGGTTAGGTCCTCTCTGCACAGGGGGTCGATCTCAGCTCTGGAATGGCTGAAAGCTCGCTCACTATGAACAGGATTTCATTTAAAGGTCTTATTTAAAGGACAGTATCTCTGACAATGCAGCACTACTCGGCAATGCATTGCAGTGTCAACTTTCCTAGACTTTGTGACTTCAAAGTCTCAGTGTGGAGCTTGAACCCACATTCTCTTGCTCAGAGGTAATTGTGCTACCAAATGAGCCAGGCCAACATATTTATAGAGTGCTGCACTAAAATGTCTTTGAAATCATCTACATTCTTCGTCGGTGAGATTTGATATTCCATCGAAACATTGAAGCAACCGGTTCTTGTGCAGTTCCTCATATGCCCTTATTATTATTATTACTTCTGATGCTGTGTGACATGTTGGAAAGCGATAAAGCACCTCTTACTATTAATCCTATCATCGTAGCACAAAGTTGAAATCTGTTCAGTTCACTTTTAAACTCATTGCTGTGGAAATTGAGGAAAAGGCAAACCTGCAATTATATGATAGTGTGTAACTTGAAAAGTGACATTCTGAAGATGTTTGGGCACAGGTCAAGAATGAGGTTAGAAAACATTGAGGATATGCAAAGGTCACAATGTATTTTATTATGTAACTAATAAAATGGCTCATGATTTCTTTTACGGGAATAGGAAGTCGAGTTTTACAGTATTACAGTGCGAATGGTCCCTTTCTAGAAAAGTGGTTCATTTTTATGCAGAGTAAAGCTTGAGAATTGATTATTGTCACATATAGTTCATGCTTCTATTAAGTGTGGAAAGGCTTATAAACCTGAGGATTGTACACTAACATTAGCCCTAATGGTTGAGACCTGCTTTCATATACTGTAAAAATGGGGTTAAGGTGTCACAATTAGAAATTCTTGGCTAGTACACTCAAAATTGCTGCATGATAATATATAGTGTGATTGTGGTGGAAATGGAATCCATTCTCACAGGATAATATCCGTATTTTTATCACAAGGTTGGGTTGCAGTTTGTTTCACCTTCCCTGGCCTCACACTATCGGAACTTGCTGTTCAGAAATGGTTACCCTTATTTTCGCCCTTCCTTGGTCTCTTGCTGAAATTATATAGCATAAGACCGATAAACTGAACACCTACACAGCTTGCATCTGGGAATGAAAAGTATTTTTCCCCTGAAGTGCACTTGCTTCAAATGATCACATCGGAGTGATATAATACAATAGAATTTACATTTATATAGCATCTGTCACATTGGGAGGACATCTCTAAGAACTTTACACTTCTCGCTGGGCAGCCAACGTGGGTGGGTGGGAGAGAGGGGGGAAGTGGGAGGGTGATTGCTGGTTGGGACCTGCAAAGGGTGGGAGCTGCAGAGGGTGGGGAAAGAAAAGGTAATCAAAAGCGTGGTCAAAGAGATAAATCTTGAGTGCTTCAAAGGGAGATTGAAATATTCTACTTATTAGAAGTATTTGCACAACCTAGGATTGTTTAAATAATGGATATCTGGAAGCGATTACAAGGTCGTAGTCTCATCAAGGGGGTTATGTGGCTTCATAAACCATGAAAAGTAAGATTAAATTGTACAAAAATACCATCAGAAACCTGGAATGAGATTACAGGCTCAATCACTACAGAGTATCCATTATTTATTTACTGCTTCAATAATGTATACCATAAATCCCACAGGGTCTTTATTCCTTTTTTCAGATGGCAGGGCAGAGGGCACATAAACTTTTTTGTTGACGATAGTAGTTGACATGAGGATAGTGTACATTTGATGCATAAGTGACTTAGTGGAGGATTAACAACTAAATCGATTACTTGGTAAACTCACAGGGATTATTGTCATGCAATTACCATAAACTAATATAGTACTTCCTAGTGCCGCGCCTGGCATTCCCTATCTTGTGCAGTCCTGAATCTTCATGCAGGCACTTCTGTTTAACAAACCAAACACTTCTGCTTAAACCAATCGAGCATTCATGAGGTCGATAGTTCAGTTTTATTTCACAGCAGATGGATGGGTCTCCTCTTTATGATAAATCATTAAATGTAATTGCTCTTATTACTATCATCCTGGATCAGGAAGATCTAAGTACCGAATTATTGCAATGAATTTGACCGTGGTGCCTTGGAGTGTCCACATGTCATTAGTTCACAAGTCACTTCCTGACTTGTCTCAGCCACATATTCATCACCGGGTTCTGGTTTGCAAGGATTTCATAGAATCATACAGCACAGAAGGAGGCCATTCGGCCCATTGTGTCTGTGCCGTTTTTTTGAAAAGAGCTATCCAATTCAATCCCACTCCCCCGCTCTCTCCCCATAGCCCTACAAATCCTTTTATGAATCATGGCAAACGGAGTGCAGTGTAAGCATTAGTGAAATTTATATCCATATTCAATAAAATGCAGTGCAGTGATATTTAAATATTGATGTTTCAGGCGCTGTATTGAACTGTATTTCTGGCTTCAGTATGGCTGTGTTGCGCTCAGCAACATCCAAGATCGTGCAAGCAAATGAACAAGGTCAGTGTTGTGGATGACTGCTAAAATCGTAATTAAATGGAATGATTTTCTTTTGATTCAATTTATTCAATCGAATATACTGCAATACATGATATTAATCTCATGTCTGCAATAATGAAGCACTTCACCAGCAGACAGTACTTTGATACAAAGTTGAGAACTCCACTCAAATAAGCTTTGTTGTGGTGTGAACGAAGTGCGATGTAGCCTTGATTTAATAATCGTCACCATTGTAAAGGTTACACATTTCAGCTGACAAGAAATTTGTGTGCTTTTGCGAACAATTACTTTATGTTGTTTGATAGCTCTAGAATATTACAGAGGAGAGATGGTCCTTCAAGACTGTGTGGGATGTTTCTCCATATGGACCAACCTACTCCCTCCCTCCAGTTCCACTTACATTTCAGTATCCCTCTTTTTCAACCATGTATCTTCACAGGATCACACAATTAGTTTAGGCTCTTTAGCCCATCTGATCTTGTCCCTCCAGAATACCCACCTACCATCCTCCTATCACTGCATCAGGCTGCTTTTTAAACAAATCCAGTGTCCTAGCCTCAGCTACTCTTCCTGGACACCTATTTTAGTCATTAATTACCTTTTGGATAAAGATAAAATGCCTGGTATCTGTCCTGAAATTGCCCTTTACATCTCTAAGCCCATGTCTTCTTGTTTAACTGTTTTAATGCATCCGAAAGTCTTGCTCTGGATTTACTTTTTCAATCACATTTAAAATGTTATACACCTCTACAAGGTCCCCTCTGATACATCTTCTCTCGAGCCTGAAGAGCCCTAGCTTGTCTAATAGTTCCTCATAGCTCATTTCTTTAATACTGGGGATCATCCTCGTTGCTCTCCTCTGCACTGCCTCTCGGGCCCAGGTAGCACCGCTTATGTTGTGGTGACCAAAAAGAGTGCAGTAACTGCACTGCCCCTATCTATCATGGTCAAGCTCGGAAATGGACAGTTCTTGGTATGGAGTAGTCATTTATTTTTATCCCCAGTCGTTGAACCAATTTTAGAATTTCTATCAATATTCCAGCATTTAGTCTTTGTGGCAGACGCTTGTCATTCCTGATCTTGCTCACATAATACATAAGAAATGCTGGACGAAAAAAGACCTTCCTGCCGGTCGCATGCACATACGTCCCAAACTACCTATATACTATATCCCATAATGTTATTTCCTAAAAGAAAACTAACTAATCTGTGTTTGAAAGAAATAACACTTCAACTGTCTCCCTAGGGAGCCTGTTCCACAGGTTCACTATTCGCTCACTGAAATAGTGTTTGCGAAGATTCGTTCTGAATTTCTCCCCCTTCAATCACAGGCGTGTCCTCTGGTTGTACTACTCTGGACAAGTTGAAACAGCCTGAGATGATCTATATTGTCCTTTAGCCCCTTTTGAATTTTAAAGACAGCAATCATGTCGCCTCGCAATCTTCTCTTTTCCAGGGTGACCAATTTACTTAGTCTCTCCTCATAGTTCAGTCCTTCCATTCCCTCAATCATTTTGGTTACCCTCCTCTGTATCTTCTCAATTTCTCCAATATCCTTTTTGTACTGCAGCAACCAGAACTGTACACAGTACTCTAAGTGTGGTCTCACCAATGATTTATACAGTGCTCCACACACCCACCACTGGAAGACGGTCAGTTGAGTTTTACTGTAATTTGTTGTAGTTGTTGTCGATAACTTGTTTTGTGACATAAATGGGAATCTCATAATTCATACACTTTGTGTTTGTTTCTTTCATTATCTTTAGGTGCAATATTTTCCTGTATGTCATCTATGGAAATGTTGTGTATTTTAACTGGAGTGGGTATATTTAATTCACTTTATCCACAAACACTCACATCATTTCCTGGATTTGGCTTCATCGTAATGGCAGGCTTCCAAGTGATTGTGCTGATCCTCATACAGTAAGTAGCCAATTATTTTTATGAGTCTCCTCCTGTGAATACACTCTATGGGTGTGTTTACCTGTTCTGGAATAGAAAAAATATTACAAGGGGATTTCATTTTACAATTTTTTGTAAGAGCTAAGGCTGTTAAAAGTGAACTTGGAAAAATTTCTTCACACAGAGGGTTGGGAAAATGTTGAATGCATTGACCCAGAGGTTTTAGAAACAGAATTCTTTGGGATGTTTAAAAGGAATACAGATAAATACTTGGAAAGCAAGGATGTTAAGGGATATGAAATAATGAAGATGGGAATTGCCATTATCTAATAAAATGGTGGAACAGTCTCAAATGAGCTGAATGCCCTGTCTTGTTCCTTGGAGTAGGACCCTGGGTAAATTTATTTTCTTTCTCTAGCCTTGGGGGCAATAAGACCAATTTTGCTTCCCTGGTTCAGACTATCTCAGTACAAGCTGGAGATTGAACCTGCCACCTTTCTGGGTAGTGTCTTTCACCAACTGAGCCATTGGAGACACATTGCTATCTAAGCACTCTGGGACTCTACCCCGTGTGAAGGGCGCTATATAAATGCAAGTTATTGTTAACAATTACATGACCTAGGTAGCATTTGAGGAGAGGATTTCCACCTGGGTCCATACTTACTCTATTTAGGTAGCAAGTCATTGGGTCCAGAATTTAACAACTTGTTGAATTCAGTCTTAATGTTGAAGTCAATTTTTCTGTTGTTAAAAAAAATCACACATAAAGGCTTCATAATTAAGTTGTATTTAAGAAATTGACAAATTCTGAATGCTCTAAAATGCAACATATAGTAAATCTAGCTTAGATTTATTTCACTCCAACTTGATTTCTCCCTTTACCTCTTCTTACTTGAAGCCAGTAGTGACCTTATGCCAGTGCCATTCCTTATATAGAAAGTTACTCACTTAGTATTTTTTTGTCAGCTGGGTGTCTGACACATGTGGAAACTGATCACCATGCTTAAGTATATTCAAACCAAATTGAGAATTCCATGCAACCCATCACCACATGGAAATCCCAGAGATAGATTGTTGGAATGGAATGCACACTCTCTCCCTGGAGCGACCCATCCTACTTACCTAATTCCGGAAAGTATAAGGCACAGACTGGCGGGAACCAAGGTTTGGCGACTACAGTAAGTTTCCTTACTCCACATACCTAAAAATAATCCCTCCAAAACAAAACAAAACAATAATAAATTGGTCATTTTCAATCCACGACTGTTTGTGGGACATTGCTGTGCGCAATTGGCTGCCGCGTTTTGCCTACAAATATACAGTCAATTCACTTTACAGTCTATTCTGTGAAGTGCTTTGAGACGCTTAGTGAAAAGCGCTATATCAAATGCAAGGATTATTATTATTATTACAGAGTATGTGTTCGGGTACTACTGGAGTCTAACTGGCTAAAACTACTTAGTATCGACAGGCTACTTGACCATAGAGTCCATTCAAGGCAAGGCATATCCTGTCCTCACCAGCAGGAATTTCAGTGTGATTAGGAGTCTTTCCCTCCCTACTTCCCCATAGTGCCTTCCCTTGGTTGTAATTAACTACCTATGGCTCTGTACCCATAGAGGATCAACTTCAAGTATTCAAATGCCCTTGTATTCAAATGCCTCCACTCCTCTGCACCCCCCTACCTCTCTGACCTCTCTCCTCAAAACAGTACCCGTTGCCTTCGTTCCTCCGGGTCTGGCCTCCTCCTCATCCTCCGCTCCACCCTTGGTGGCCATGCCTTCAGCCACTATGCTCCGAGGCTCTGGAATTCACTTCCTCACTCCCTTCACATCGCTCCCTCTCTTCCTATTTTTAGGTCCCTGCTGGAGTCCTTTAGCTCAGTGGTTAGAGCAGTTGCCTTGCAAGCGAGACACCTGGGTTCAATTCCAGACAGGGCGAAACCTTGGGCAAGTTTCATTACTCCACACGCCTAATAATAATCCCTCCAAAAAACAAAACAATAATAAATTGGTCATTTTCAATCTACGATTGTTTGTGGGACATTGCTGTGTGCAACTGGCTGCCACTTACAAATATACGATCAATTCACTTTACAGTCTATTCTGTGAAGCGCTTTAAGACGTCGAGAAGACATGGAAAGTGCTATATCAAATGCAAGGATTATTATTATTATAAGACCTTTCTGTTCGACCGTGCCTTTGGTCACCTTCCTCCCCCTCCCCCGGCTCGGCCCTGGGATCCATTACTGTGAAGCTCTGTGAGACGCCGGCTGGCATGGAGGACGCTATATAAATCCAAGTTGTTGTTGTTGTACACGCCGACAATTCAGAATATTGATCCACTCAGCATTCGGGGGAAGGGGCTTCTTAATCAGGTTGCATGAGTTTGATACATTGACTACTTTACGTTCTCAGACAATTTGTTCTTGGAACAGCCTGTACAAATTGTACTTAGTTTGAAATTAAGCAATGCTTTGAAAACAAACAGAGCAGTCGCTCTGTGATGTATGGAGCTTTTGATTTTTTTGAGCATTTCATCAGATGAATGGTACACATAATGTTACAGAATGTTATCTAAGAAATGTGGTCTTAGAGACATTGAGTACTCGGGGACCTGCAGTCATTGTGCTGTGCAAAGAAATGAAAAACTTGCTGCAAAGTAGCTGCTGTTTTACTTCCTCTAGCACTGACTTTACATCTGATAACAACTGTTACTGAGGAGATGTTTTCAAGCACAGAATTGAAACTCTGGTGGTGTGAGAGAGTGATATGCACTTAATAACCCTCCCTCTATCCCTCACCTCATCTCCCTCTTTATCAATCTTTAATACCCACCTTAAAACCTACCTCTTCGACCGTGCCTATGGTCACTTTCCGTCCTCCTTCTGCCTTGCATGGCATCTGTCCCCATGAAGCACGCTGAGATGTTATCCTAATTTAAGGGTGCTATAAAAATACAAGTTATTGTTGTGGTTGTGAACATAATCTGAAACCACAGTCTAGGGATAACAATCTAGATTGTTATTTAATTTTTCTTTGACGTATTTTGAAGTTTTTCTGTCAGCTGCCTCAGCGAGTTGAAACCTTTAAGAGGGAGCTGAGCCACAGACTCCAGGTTCAAACCCTGCAGGATCGGAGTGTCCCAAAGATTATTTGGGAATAGTCCGAATACTCATTTTTGCAGTGTGGTCAATGGTGGTCAAAAAAGGTATTGTACTTGTTCATTTTAATGTGCTGAAGTTGGCTTTTTCACTGGGAGTCTTCCTAGCTCCACTTTCAACAAAAACTTGCATTTTAATAGCACCCTTCACATAGAATAACATTCTGGCGTACTTCGCAATATGGCGGGCAAATGCCGAGATGGAGGAGGGGGAGGAGGTGACCATAGGCACGTCAAAGAGGTAGGTTTTCAGTGGGCCTGGAAGACAGATAAAAAAGGGTGTGAGATAGAGAGATTGAGGGAGGGAGTTTCAGCGGATGGAAAGTGGATTTGGAAAGCCAGCCATCAAGGCCACGTGCAGCAAGCTCGAGTTAGTCAATTACAGGGATGAGCAGAGGAGTGAGGTGAGAGGAGAGATAGGGAGGCGCTAGGGTATAGAGGGGTTTATAGAACCCCCAAATCAATGCCTGAGAGACAGGGTGCCAGTGGAGCCCAACGAGGACTGGGGTGATAGGCAAGTGGAATTTAGTGCAGGTGAGGATTTTGTTTATTCGCCCCTTTTTCTCTCTTGACACAGCGATAACATTTCTCTTGTGTGGATCTGGCACTTTAGGCAACTGGGAAGATTTTATGTGTGCAAACTATAGTACGTTCTGTTTCATTTGAAGTAGTTGTCAAATTTGGACAGTAAACCAGATATAGTTTACAGTACAGTCAAGAATGAGAAAAAAAAGTGCTGCTCTCCTCAGGAAGTGCAAATCATTGTATTTTGACAGGATCAGGGACTCTGCCCAGCACCCCTTATTTACACTTCTGGTTATATAAGCACACGCCTTGCGTTTTTGGCAGGTGGAAGACTATTTTCTTAAGATAGATCAGTTTGGCCCAGTTTATGGGTTTGTGTTGGCAAGATGTAAGATCACGCCCTTCAATACAGTAGAGTTGAGTTATTAGGAAGCTGCCCAAGGCATGGAGGCAGTGCAGAGGGGAGCAATGTGGAATATCCCAGTGTTAGAGGAATGAGCTATGAGCAACCTTTAGACAAACTAGGGCTCTTCATTCTTGAAAATAAATGTTTCAGGGGTGAACCTTATAAGGTATATAACATTTTAGATGGGATTGACAAAGTGAACCCAGAACAACACTTTCAGACGCACTGAAACGGCAGAACAAGAGTATGCAGGTTCAATGTAGAAAAGGCAATTTCAGTTCAGACATCAGGAAATATTTCTTTACACACGTAAGTGTAGTTGACACCCGGAACTGGCTGCCAGGAAGGGCGGTTGAGGCCAGGCCTCTGGATTCATTAAAAAAAAACAGATTGATGCTATGATAGAAGGGTGGGTATCCTGGAAGGAAAAGATAATCCTTATAGTAATCCTTGCATTTGATATGTCAGGAGGACGTCTCATAGCAGGACAGAATATTGCAGTGTATATTTTGTAGATGAATGCAACAGCCAATTTGCATACATCGATATCCCACAAACAGCCATGAAGTGAATAAGCAATTTTAGTTGGGGATTGTTGGCCAGGACACTCGGAGAAACAAACTTCTCTTTCAAATGGTGTCATAGGATCTTTAACATCCATCTGACCAGTCAGATGGGACCTCAGTTTATCATCTTATCCAAAGGACGGTACTACCAACAATGAAACGCACCCCCAGCACTGCATTGGAGTGTCAGCTTACACAAAATGAAAGTGGTGATGTGGGGTTTGAACCTACAATAGTAATAATCTTTGCATGTGATATAGCACTTTTGCATGTGATATAGCACTTTAGCATGTCTTCGAGACATCTCAAAATGCTTCACAGAAGACTGTAAAGTGAATTGACGCACTGAAACAGCAGAACAAGAGTATGCGGCATACAATTGTGTACAGCAGTGTCCCACAAACAGTGGTGCATTGAATGACCAAATTTTTTTTTGAAAGGATTATTATCCCCAGAAAGCTATTAGCCAATTGACTAACGACCGGGTTCCTACTTTCTGCTAGATAAACAGAGGCTTGTGGAATAAAGAAACTTGCCTAACATTTCTCCCTGTCGGGAATCAAAACAAGGTTTATTGCTTGCGAGACAAGTGCTCTAACCACTGAGCTACAGGATTTCTCTATCCCTCATGAATTGTAATCAACTCAGTACTAAATATCAAAAAATAAATACAAGTAAACTTCTGATAACTCGACACTAGCTGAACTTGTCACTTTCACTTAAGTCATCATGCTGCCACTATCCCGGTGGTATTTATTTCTGTATTTACACATGTCTATCTCACCACTCTTATTCTCAGAACTCTTTTCCCTAGGAGTGACAAGTTACCAGGAGTTTACTGTATATGCCACACAACTTATAAAACTAACATTCATTACAAATTAAACTTCAAAATTTGAGACACAACCTTCGGACTCAGAGGCGAGAGTGCTCTCAATTGAACCAGGCTCGGATCAAATGGGCTGAAAAGCCTCCGGTGATTGTACTCTGGTGACTTTCCTTCTTTCACCCTCTTGTACAGTAGAACAGGAGCAGCCTGTTCACCTACAAGATCATCAGCCTTTTCCTTGATTTCAGTGTATTGATTTAAATAATATTGAATTGGTCATCTCAATCCACGACTGATTGTCGGGCACTGCTGTGCCCAATTGGCTGCCATGTTTTGCCTACAAAATGTACAGTCAATTCACTTTACAGTGCTTTTGATCATCCTGCTTCCCTCCCTGCTCTCCAGCCTCCCCAATCGTGACCCCCAGCTCGGGTCCGAAACACTGACTGTCCAGTGACTTGGGACGTCCTCCCGATGTGAAAGGCGCTATACAAATGTAATGTTGCTGTTGTTCTTGGTTGTACCTTCCCTTGGCTGAGCATATGTCCAGTGTGCATTCATTGTACACATGCATACATGCAATCATTTAGTTGAGCACAAACTTGGTGTGGACATGCTCAGTTGCGTGTGAATGCATTGCACACTCATTCAGCTGCACATGGGGACAGTTGTACACATGCTCAGCCCAGCATCTACAGAGCTATGTTTTCCTTACACCCCATTCCAGGTGACAGAGATCTTTATTTGGGCACTTTAGCTGCAGTTTCTGCCTTGAGCATTTCCTTTACAACAATAACAACAACAGCAACAACAAGATTACATTTGTATAGCGCCTTTCACGTCGGGAGGACGTGAACCTTGGGAAACAAAGCCACAGTGTTTGTGCAATCAATCAAGGGCCCGATATTTTGCTGTTGTATCACTTATCAGTTAAGAAAACTGTGGCAAAACATTCCAGGGAGCCGGAAACAAATACAAGTACACGGATAATGTGGTAAACAACATTCTTCAGTGAACTGTATAAGATTACAAGTAAAGTGAACAGTACATCTGATTAAACTAACAAATCTCATATTGCACAAATTCTCAGAAACAGCCAAACTCCATCAATGGAAACTGTTGATAAGAATTGTTGCCCCTGCCTTCCTGCCCCATCCCCCTATTTTAAAAAAAGCCTGTTCAATGCAATCCATTCTTCTTCTTAATATCTCCTCTCGGAACCGTCCCCAGCAGGTAATCTTTAAGCACCTGCAATGTATATTTAGAAAAAGATTGTATCTGCACCAGAGGTTATAGACTGGCGCTGACCCACGTGTAATTGCAGTTTGTGGTCTGGGAGAGGGATTACTCAGTAACATTGAGTAATAAAGACCAGTGCAGTTAAAAACAGCAGTTTTCAGATTGTTTTGACATTTTAAAGTGAGTGAAAAGATTTAGAATTACGAGCTGTATCTTTGTCTACTGTGGATGTTGTATAAAGAAGGTTAATTTGGTGTTTGGGGGGAAAGAGGAAATTCATGGAGCACTTTAATAGCTCTGTGGTAATCTTCAGTCCAGGTTCACACCTAAGTGCAGTACTGGGGGAAGAGGGCTGCATTGTTGGAGGTGCCATCTTTCAGATAAGGTTTTAAACTGAGATCCCATCTGCTGGGTCAGATGGTAAAGATTGGACGACGCAGTTCAAAAAGAGAAGAAAGTAACATGGGTGGAGAACCGATGACCTGGAAAGGAGCCATTTTAGCCTCCGGTGTGCAAAAGTAAATAAACTGACATCTAGGTTATCAGGTTGATACCATTGTCACTTCTTGCTTTGCACATGTGCAGCACACAGGAAATAATACAAAATACAAAATACTTTTGTATCAGTTCATTTTTTAAGAGCAGAGGCTGCTGGAGCACAGTCTAGTGACATAATGAAACCGGCTGTCACACCTCTTTATAGTGTGGGTTGAAATTTAATTTGATTCAACCACCGCATTATAACTGGGCTCCACTACAGTAAATTTTATATCCACTTTTTAAGAAATAAATGTCCTGGCATGAATTATACTAACAGAGAAATGGTTGATTTTAAATTTCAGTTTTTATTAAACACGAGCAAAGGTTTAGCTAACATGAGGCTCTTTCAGGTATGGATTCACTGTAATATGATTTGCGGGGAGTGTCAGAAAGATCAGTATTAAAATGTAAAGTATATCATAATGTGTTGAACTATGATAGTCTTTTGTTATTGTCCTTATGTTCAACTCCCTCCACGGCCTCACCTATCCTACCTCCGAGACCTCCTGCACCTCAACACTGTGGCCTGTTCCTCTGCTCAGTGAAAACTGGCCTGCTTCATTCCCCCAAACGTCCTGCCTAGTGTCAGGAGGTGAGCTTTAAGCCATTCTGCCCATGCTTTCTGGAACTACAACAACAACCAATTGTATT